CCCCAAAACCCCAAAACCCCAAAACCCCAAAACCCCAATATCGATAGCTATAATTGGATTGTTATAATAAAAATGAAGGTTATAATCTTAGTCATACTCTTGTTAGGTCTGGTGCTTTCTGGCCCAGTCACTATGGATAGGGATACTGACCATGGTCATGGAGATGAATTCTACAACAAACTTAGAGCTGAAGAAGGACAGAAAAAACTTAAAATCCACATAGTACCTCACTCTCATGAGGATGTAGGATGGAAGTTAACTCCAGATGAATACTTTTCAGGATTCGACTGGTCTATCAAGCCAGGAGCATCTCAGTATGTACTTAGTACAATGTATGATGCCTTGATGGATCATCCAGACAGAAAATTCACTTGGGTCGAAAGCTACTTCTTTGAAAGGTGGTGGTACTACCAATCAGAAGAGGTCCAAAACAATGTTAGACAACTTATAAAAGAAAAGAGACTTGTCTTTGCTAACGGAGGATGGTCCATGAGTGATGAAGCTACTTTACATTATGAAGACTTTATAAACAACATGAAGGCAGGACATGATTTTTTAAAAAGAGAATTTGACTATAAGCCTACGGTTGGGTGGCAGATCGATACTTTTGGTCATCAGTCAGCAACTGCCGGGCTATTTGCTGAAATGGGATTCAGTTCTTGGTTTATCGCAAGAGCAGACATTCAGGATAAGAAGAGCAGATTAGCAAACAAGGAAATGGAGTATCTTTGGAGACCATTCAACAAGTCACTCGGAGCTAGATCTGAGATCTTCACTCATTTTACCTATCAGCACTATGACCCTCCTCAAGGGTTCAATTATAATGATGCAGCTACAGATGACCCTGTTGTAGGAGATATACTTCTTGAAACATATAACTTAGATGAAAGAGCTGAAAAATTCAGAGATTATCTTCTCCATATGTCTCAGCATTATAAGACCGAGAACTTATTTGTACTATTTGGAGATGACTTCGGGTTCGCTAACTCTCAAAGATTTTTTAAGAGCCTTGACCTCATTATGGATTATATGAATGAGATCTATGATGATATGGAGCTATTCTATAGTACTCCTTATGATTACATTGATGCTCTCCAATCTGAAGATATTGAATGGCCTGTTAAGTATGATGATCACCTTCCATACTCAGATGAAACTAATGCTTATTGGACTGGATTTTATACCTCGAGGACTAGCATTAAAGGATACATCAGAGAATCTTCTCAGGACCTAAACTCACAAAGTATTTTCCTTGCAATGGATTATCTTATCAATGGTGCTCAAACCTTCTCTGCTTTTGATGACCATTATAAGCAACTAGGAGTTTCTTGTCATCACGATGCTATCACAGGAACTGAGAACCAAAAAGTAGCTAATTATTATATGAAAACTCTTCATAAAACTCATTCAAAGTTCAAAGAGCAATTCGCCAAATCTTTTGAGAATATATTCAAAACTGGGCTTGAGAATCTTAGTATGTGCAAGTTAAAGAATTCTACTTTCGTCGATTGCCCTACTAAAGATTTTGACCAAGAGATGGTCATTGTCATTCTTAATGAAGTAAATGAAAGAAGTGAGGAAAAATCAGAAGAATTTACTACAGGTATTATCTTGTTTATTAAACTCAAATTATTTAACTTTTAACAGGAAGACTAAGTAGCAAGATATATGCAAATAATTTCGAAGAAAAAGCTTTGAGATCATTATTTAATAATTTTTTATCTTTCGCATCAAGTTCTCTATTGAGGAGGCTTATAAATTTACCATTTTAATTCATACTTTGCATCGTTTTTACTATAGATTTAAAGAATTCTTAGTTAAAATTACTAAAATTTAGGTCAAATTTCATATAACATCGCAAAAGTGCCTATCCCTCACTCTCAAATTACTGTATTTGACGATGAAGATATGGAGGTTGAATCTGACATTATCTGAGAGAACGAAGATGGAACAGATTGTACTCTATATTTCAGAGCTGATGTGTCTTCATTTACAGCCAAGATTTTCACTCTGAAAAAGATAAGTCAGCCATCACATTTACTGTCAACCTCGAAGAAAGAAATTCAAGCTGGAAATCAGCAGCTGGTAATTAACTCGATTGATGAGGAAGGAGTTCATCTCGAGTTTACTAATAGTGAAGAGAACACTGAACAGCTAACTCTTGCTTACAAGTATTATGACTCATATGATTGGATCATCGGTCAAAAATCAGGAGCTTATGTATTTAGGCCATACTACAAAGAGAAGAGACCCGAGAATTACAATACTTTCTTGCGCCAAGAAGTCTTTGATGGAAAGCTTCTCAAACAAATAAAGCTTTTAGGAGATGAAGTTGACACAATCCTTACCTTGACCGATGGAGATGATTTTGTAAAGGTAGAAAGTTACTTAAAGGGGATTCCTAAAACTCCAACAGGAAGAGAAGTAGTCCTCTCTCTTAAAGTCAAGGATTTCAATAACAATAAAGTGTTCTATACTGATACAATGGGACTAGAGATGCAAAAAAGAGTGCTTAATTACAGAAGCTCTTGGGATCTGAAAGTAGACCAACCAATATCTGGAAACTATTATCCAATAAATCATGCTATTGCTATTAAAGATCAAGATAAAATATTTGAAGTTTTAAATGACAGATCTCAAGGAGGAAGCAGTCTGGAAAATGGCGAAATTGAGATTATGATACAGAGAAGAACTTATAAAGATGATTCTAGAGGTGTACATGAAGCATTGAATGAAGTTAACCCAGAATCTCCTGATGAAAGGGGAATATCCATAGACACTACTCACTACTTTAGGATTTATTCATCTCTTACAGAAAGATCGATGAGACAAAATTCTAGAATAATGCAAAAGAATATAGATGTGCCCCTCACCTTCCTCTTCGGTACCAAGTCTACTCCCTCTCTCAATACTCTCAAGCTAACCCAGTTCAGCGAAGTCCTCGACCTGCCTCCCCAAATCAAAGCTGTGTTCTTGCCTGAGCATGATGGCACCCTCTTCCTCAGACTCGAGAACATCCTCGACTTGTTCTCAGCTTCTGACTCGGCCATCGTCGACGTAGAAGCAATGGCTGCTCACCTGGGCTTGTTCATGGGCCTTAGAGTGGAGTCAGTTGTCGAAGTTTCTAACACCGGACTCTACTCAATGGCTGAGATGCAGGAAGTCAAGCTACACTGGAAGGGAGAAGACTATACAAGCAAGCCTGTGAGCTATGAGTCAGACCCAAGCAAGGTTGAGTTGGAGCCACAAAGAATCAGATCTTTCAGACTCACTTTCACTTAATCTTCATAACTACTTTGGCTACATAATCTGAATATGGGGCTCCAATATTTTATTCGAGGAAAGGGGTTTTGGGGTTTTGGGGTTTTGGGGTTTTGGGG